AGAGACTCACAACTATAATCCTTTCTGCCTGTGATAAAATTTACAAAACACAGATCACGATTATCTGGAAATATTTCAATCATTTGGCATAGAAAACATCATCACAGAAACCTGTAACATGATCAACATTCTTTGCTGTCATCTTAAAAATCTGAAAGAAAATTATGAACTGTCCTTTTTCAAGTTATTTGTGGATTCAAGATCCATTTGTTGGCTGTTGTGACTTACGTGACATCCCTACGGACATGAAAGAAAACCTCACTGTTCTACCATCAGATGAAACATTAAGTTTGCTTCTTTCCAGGCAAGACATTTACGAGGGTCGTACTGAAAGTCATGAGCAACAATTTTTTGTAAAGTAACATGCTTTATTATTGACAAACCAAATACACCATCTCAATCTACAGACCTTTCTTTATTTTTCCACATAATCGCCACTTCTTTGTACACATTTCTCCCAGCGTTCTGGGAGTTTGAAAATTCCCCTTCTGTAAAATTCCGTTCCAGCCATCCAAAGACACTGATGCACTGCTTTCTGAATTGCCTCCCTTGTATCAAATCGTTGTCCACGCAGCTGATCCTTCACAAATCCGAAAAGATGGTAGTTGGAGGGTGCCAGATTAAGGCTATAGGAGGGGTGTGGAAGAACTTCCCACCCCATTTTTGCAGTTGCTTACAATGTGAGGCAAGTGTTGTCATGCAGAATGATGATGTTTCATCCCGGACGTTTATCGTGCAATGCACAACGGAGCTTGTGCAGCGTCTGGACATAAGGAGCAGCACTGATGGTTTGCCCAGGTTCCAGGAATTCGGCCAGAATAAACCCCTCTGCATTCAAGAAGACTGTGCCCATCACCTTCGCAGCTGATGGCACTGTCTTTGCCTTCTTTTTTGATGGAGAATGCAAATGGTGCCATTCCATACTCTGCCGTTTCGTTTCAGGCTCAAAATGGTGAAACCAGCTTTCGTCACCTGTCACAATACAGAGAAAAAAATCATCGCCTTCGTGTCAATATCTCTGTAGCAGTTTTGAGGTGATGGCTTTTTGCTGACGTTTGTGGTCTTCGGTCAATAACTGTAGGACCCAACAAGCATAAACTTTCCTATAGCCCAAGCTTTCAATAATCTCCTGTACTGCACTGTGCCCTATTCCAAGTTTTGGGGCTATTGTGTCCACAGTCAAACGCCTGTCATCTTGAATGATCTCATCCACTCTTTCCTTGTTGCATTCAGTTGAGGCTGTTCGAGGACGACCGCTCTAAGGCTCATCTTCGATACTGGTGTTCCCATCTTTAAAATGTTTCACCAATCTTCGAACACTGCTTGCACCCATGCACACACTTCCAAAAGCACGCTGAAGTCTCTGGTGAATTTCTGCAGCAGGGATTTCCTCTTTCACAAGAAATTCGATGACAGCATACTGGCGAAATGACATATCATTGTCAGCCATTTTGTTAGGAGTGATACTGGTCACATGATGCAAGCTATTGATGTCACAAGACACTCAAGGTCAACACAACAGCTGGTTCCATCTACCACCATACTCTCTTTCGTCTGCTGTTCCCAGGTTGCATGCAAAAAAAAAGTTGCTCATGACTTTCAGTACGACCTACGTATAAATATTTGGCCTTCTATTCATAAGGAAATCCTCTGCTGGCTAATAAAGAATATGCATTTTCTTATTTATGTGAAGGATTTTCTTCTTTGGTTGCTATTAAAAATAAGTCTGGATGTTCTGGATGTCTCTTCATGCCTCAGAGTGAAACTGATGTTCAACCAGATACTGATCATCTTGCAACAAGTTCGCCTCTCATACTGAATGTATGTAGGCTAACATTATTTTTTTATTTATGCAGAAATAAATACGTACTTTGCATGGACAAATCTTTATATTATTTTTATGTAAAAGTCATGGTGGTACAGATGCTGACTAAATTTCACTCTCATTACATCATTCTTAATGTTTTTTGTCACAGATTTGAATATTTATCATATATTCCTAACTTACTCAGCAGAAACACACAAGTAACAACTAATAATAAGGTACATCTTATATACATTGTTATTAAGCGGCCTCCGTAGTCTAGGGGTAACGTTCCCACCTCATGACTCAAGGTACGCGGAGGTCGTGGAATTTTTAAGGGCGGAAAAATTCAGGGAACAAGTCCTTTGGGAGGGACTTTAAGCCGTGGGTCCTGTGTTGTAGATTTACGGCATGTAAAAGATCCTCATGTCTCTAGGAGACCTCTGAGCAAAATTAGGCAACAATTTCCCGCCCAAGTAGTTCCCAATGCCTCTGGTAGATGGGGGAAATATCAGGTACCGATGGCCGACCTCGTTGGCTGAACGGGGCTGATAGNAATAATAATAATAATACAGTCATTATAAAAATAAAATTCTACCCATAAAACCCCATATATATTAAACAAAAGAACTTTAAAAATTAACAAACAATAGTTATATCAGGAAATGTTACTATTATCGATAAATATTTTAATACATTTAAACACTGTAACATACATATATTTATATGTACAGTTTGATATTTTACATGGTAAGACTAGTACAGAGCAATGAATCCGTTGTAACAGTGACACATTTTATAGTTTATAAAAACATCTGATTAACCTTTAAGTGAAGGCCCTTTAAATTCCGGTAATAGCAGCGGGACGGATTTGATTTAAATACCCACAATTTTAAAGCAATAAAATCATTTCCTAAAATTGCTGTGATTTCTACAATTTTGTGATAAACGAACCAAATAAACGCTGTTTTTTTTTCTAGAAAGAATATAGAATCAGATATTGTAATTTACAGACTTTATAAAATGTGTAAAAATTTTTAGACTGATTCCAAGTATAAAATTCCCAAATTTGTCGTCTGTCTACAAGAATTCATACAGTTCTTGGACCTAAGAATGCTGTGTGTAGATGTGGCAACGCAGCGGATGGTTATGTAGACATGTTTAGTCTTGCATGTCTCGAAGCTTATACACGTACCTTCTTTCGGTATGCAGAGATGTGGGCATGTATCTCTTCGTTTATAAGAACGCTGATTGTTTATATGCAACAAGTTCTCTGTTCTGACCGTGCTCAGTTAGTTTATCAGAACTCTCAAGGCTATCGTCTTTATACCACAGCCAAGCAGTGTGATACAGCTTCAAAGTTTCGCAGCGAGAACAGTGATATTGTCAGCTCACCATGGTGTTGTCTCGTTTGGAAGATTCAGACATTTTTCAACTCATAAATGACTCCGAATCAGATTGTTTTACCGACAATTCTGAGAGTGGCGTTGAGGAAAGTGATTCAGAAATGGATTTCGACGAAGACCCATCATCTTCATCGGTAACCTGGGGACCACCACACCAGCGTGGCAAGAGGAGTGTGAATAATTATTCAGGTGGAGCTGTGGGGTTAAATACCAATGAAGCTCCACACGTGAATAAGGATTCCACCCCTTTCTGCGTTTTCATGCTGTATTCCGCAGGGATTATCCGTCTGCTGGTGGAAGAGACGAACAGGTACTACCATCAGCACATAGACAGACGTCAAGACGGACCTTCTCCGCGGCCTGACGTGACCGAATCCGAGATGTTTCTGTTTCTAGAAATAATCATTCAAATGGGACATGACAATAGAGGCAGACTAAAGGACTACTGGTCGACTCTAGAACAATTTGCCACGCCTTTCTACTCTTAGACAATGAAACGCGACCGTTTTCTACACATTCTTCGTTTTCTTCATTTTGCAGACAACAGTACAGAAATTGACAGGAATGCCGACAGTTATGACCGACTATGGAAAATTCGGACCATCTTCGACACTCTCAATGACGCATTTGAAAAATATTATAACCCTTCTGAACATTTGGCCATTGACGAAATAATTGTAAAATACAAAGGGAGGGTGGTTTTTAGGCAGTACATTCCAAAGAAACACAAACGTTTCGGAACCAAAATCTTCAAAATTTGTGACACAGCTGGGTATACTTATGACACGAAAGTTTACCTAGGAAAAGACAGGACATGTGCCAGCCAAGACGTAACAGCGACACATGCTACAGTTGGGGATCTATGCAGACGTATTGAGGGCGTAGGTCACAAACTGTACATGGACAATTTCATTTCTTCACCCGACTTGTTTGACGAACTGATGACAAAGAACATAACGTGCTGTGGGACAGTCAGACCTAATCAGAAGGGCCTGCCTGACGATTTTTGACGAAGACAATTTTGACTGAAGAAAGGGGACATTCGTGTTAGGGTGAGACAGAACTTGACAGCACTAGCTTGGAAGGACAAACGTGACGTTTACATGCTGACAAATATGCACTCTCCTCCAGCAGAAGGCAGTTTCTGTGATGAGCACGGAAATGCCATCAAGCCAGCAATTGTTGCTAACTATGACAAGCACATGGGTTATGCCGACAAAGCGGACAGAATGGCAAACAGTTATATCATCTGTCGTCGATCCTGGAAATGGACAAATAAATTATTTTTCCATCTCCTGGATCTGACAATTCTGAACAGTTATATCCTGTTGTTATCCTGTGGTGCGAAATTGTCACACAGAGAATTTTGTCTCGCCCTTGTGCGGAACATGCTGGAAGGGGCCCCCCTCGCCCTCAACGGCCCAGGGGTCGAACCCCTGCCATTTCATCGGGGTCATTTCGAATAGAGGAGGCCAAACAAAAGCACTGGCCGACTTCCTCTACTTCGAAATTGAGGTGTCGAGTGTGCTCTTCGCGTGGGAAACGAAGAACCGCCCGGATAAAGTGCGTGAAGTGTGATGTGGGACTCTGCATTTCCGGATGTTTCCAAGATTTCCACATGAAGCCAACATTCCGTTAAGACAACGCAGGTGGGAAGAGAGACAACTTATAAAGCTGGTGACCAAAAATCATGTAAGTAGAAAAAGAATTTATAACTTAAAATTAGATTTTAAAAAGCCGGCCGCACGCGTGGACTGCGCGACGACATATGGCGTCATTCGTCCCCTTGACTTTATTTTAATGACGCCATATGGCATCGCTCGGCTCTTAAAGGTTAAGGTCAAAAGATCAAAACATGTAGTGTAGTAACATTATGTGTAGTATCATTATGTTTGTTTTCATCTCTAAGAGTCTTCAGAGTTCATCAGGCCTTTTCATTGACATTTACATCAAATTTCAGTTCCAAAGCAATTGTCACAATATTTGGCCTTATTACTTACCATCTTACTATTTATATAGCATCTTTTACGTGGAGAATGCTACAGACGTTGGGGGTCTGAGCAGACGAGTTTCCACCTTCAGTGAAGTTGGGGAACGAGACAATTCAACTGTCACGATGCTGAAGATTTCCACGACCAAGCGTGTTCCAAATGGTACTGTATCTGTTGGAAGCCACTCAATCTCCTGTGCCATGATTTTCTTATTCTCCGCTCTACACGTCACTTTGGCTGGAAATGGTAAATTCTGCACAGACAGAAGTACATTAGAACTGTTATATCCTGGAGCTCAGACACACACACACACACACAACCATATTACAAATATCAATTTGCAAATGACTGTCAAACCCTGAGCCCAGTCAATTTATGTCAGTGATAAAAATACCATATTATGAAGGTTGTTCAAATAGAGTGAAATCCTGATTTCGTGTTCCTGCATTTAGTGATAATTTCTTGCATTCCCGACTGGAGTCCCATAAAAATATCTCATTTATTTCCCATATTTTGTGAATTCTGATTTAGTAAATAATCCATATTAAACATAAGCACTGTTTGGTCTTCATGCTTAGATTTAGTGTAACTTCCTTTATTTTGTAAAAATAAAAGTAGGTTGATGTGGTCACCATGCTCTCTGTGTCCCCCTTCCTATTAACTTTGAATGGATGAACCAATCTTTATGAAACTTGGCACGTGAGCCCATCTCAATAATATACTTCATAAATCCCTCCTATCAATCTGTGTGTCTATATGTGTATCCCCCTATCATTGCTAGGCAATGGCTTGATAAAAACGTTACTGCAGCAATAAATACACATGAAACAATAGAAGAACTGTTGGAGGTGTCATTTTCTAAATGGGCTGTGTCATATCAAAGGAAAGCAGACAATTCGTTCTTCCTGTTTTTAAGGCTACACCTATGACATTCTACTTTGTGGGATACTCACATTTGTGTAGATTCTTTGAACCAGTCCTGTCCTGCGAATGATAATATCGAATGAGAGGTCTTTCACATCCATCACGACTGCCTCTTCGATCATTGGACCATGTAGACCAATATACACTGTGAGATACAACTCAGTACTCTGTTCACCAGCCCGTTTGGCCTGATATTTCTGCCTGTTACAGTTTGTTGCCGTACTGCAAGAAAACATACCAGTTATACTCGCAGAAAAGGATACAGCAATATACCAACCAAACTAAACCTTGCAGATTAGTTCCTCAATGGCAGCAGTTACTTGGACGGTCAAGAAACTTCTTGTGTATAAGAAACATGAAAGTTCATTTTAATGAAGCAGCCACTTAATGTTCCTCAAGTTAAGGTTTCTCCTTATTTAATGTTCAATTTTAATGATCCCGTGTCAATAATCTCAATATTAAATATCCTTCGTTTAAAGTTTTTCTCAGTTTCATGTTCAAATTAACTGCTCCTCAAAGAAACCCTAAATGGGGATTTCACTATATTATATTGTAACGTGTTTACGTTACAGAATACGCCGTAGAGATGGTTAACTGGGTTTATTTAACAATTTACAAATAACGGCTACAATTAATTATCACAAGATCGCGGGTTTCCACACTTTACAAACCCTACAACAAAATCTCTTAACACTCTCTTCGAGAGTCTTCAATTATTAATAACGCGGGAGCTATACAAGTCTCCCTGAAATACACACTCCGAATATAACTGCGTACAGCAATCACTATGTCTCGAAAGCACACAATAAGTCTTCCGCTCGCTGACTTCTTCGTTATCGCACACTCGCAGGCTGCTAGGTTTCAACTGATGATCACACTGCTGTGG